TATTTAAATATTTTTATTAATTTCTGAGATGAAGAGAATAGAAACATCAATGATAAGAGAGAATCATTAATCAGCTGCCTTCTGCATGCCACACTGAGGATTGAGCCCACAACCCCAGGCATGTGCCCTGACTGGGAATTGAACTGTGACCTTGCAGTTCATAGGTCGATGCTTAACCACTGAGCCAAGCCAGTTGGGTTATATTTAAATAATTGTATATTCCCTTTCAAAATAAATGAGCACTTTAAACAAGATGACAGAAAATAACACTACTATTAACATTGAGAAAAAGCCTCATTAAACACCACTTTTTAGAGTGGCTTACCCTGATGGCATCTAGTTGATTTTTAAGTGTCAACTGCCCAGATATATATATATATATATATATATATATATATATATATATATATATATATGAGTACCTCCAGAGTGTATATAAGTCCTTGGCAATATTTTCCAAAGGGCAGTTAGAAAATAAAATTGTCCTACCATCATGTCTAAGAAGTATTATTACAATGCTGATAAACAACTAATTCAGGTTTTATTATATATAACATATACGGAATACCACAGAAATAGTAAAGTTTGCATAGACATTATTCACAGCTGGCCGAAAAGACTAAATACTATGTGATTTTTCAAATTATAATTAATATTTTTACTCTTAAAAACTTGGCAAGACAACTGTTTGTTTTAACATTAATAGAAAATGAAGCCCCAGGGAAGTGACAATTAAGAGCTAAATGTGTGTTTTTGTTTCACATCAGTAATTTAGCCATACGTTTGGGGGTGTTCTTTCTCATGTGTGCCACTTTCGAAAAATCAATAAAAAGCATGTGAAATATCTAAGTGAACACAGGGGAAATAGTGTCAGAAATCAATACTTCTCTACCAGCATGTTTAACCTGCTGAAATGAAGTGTTAATCACAGAAATAAGATACCATATTACATTTATAAACTAATGAAACTAGAAAAAGCAAAACATGTGACACTATAATTAAACAGCTGGAAGACATCCAAGCCTGTGTAAGTTGATAACCTTGGTACAATCTCTGGCAGTGAAAAGGCAGGTCTGCAGTGAGTTGATATGACCGGTGCAGTTGTTAATTGAAAAGCAGGCAATCTATAAACACTCCTAATTGCATATGTGAAAACCTGTGCACAACTAGAAATGCTGCCTGGAGAAGCACTCCAGAAGAACTACATGGATAAAGCACTTGGCAAATCTTCTGTCTCTCTCAATCCCTGTAAGTCGTAGCTTAGTTTCGCCACTGCATCCTTCTGATTAACCTGCACACAGCAGACTTAATGATACATTTTTCAAAGGATCGTTTTTCTTCCTAACCAGATAGACACCGCACAACTATCAATTACCCACTCGCTTCAGAAAAGAACAAACAAGCAATCTAGAAAATTCAGCTTGTGAATGGAAAGCTTTCTACGTCGTAAAAGAAGACATGGTCTTATTCCCAACAGGCAAAATGCTTTGCGGATCTGTTCCGACGCATTTTGCAGAAGTGTGGCAGCTGCTGCGAACAGCATGGAGTGTTAAGATTTGACACGTTTTTTTTTTTTCCTTAAGGATATAGCCATTTGGGGAGGCTCAGAAACTGTTGTCAGGATTTTACTATTCATCCATTTAATAAATCCTTTAAAAATGATTACTGCTCTAGGATCTACATCAAACTTTTTAAAATTTTTGAATCTGTAAAGAAGATGGCTTAGGCCAAGGTTTTAGTGAGGAACCATAGGATCTCCTCTAGTTTAATGTACAAACTCAAATCAGGCCAGGTAAGAGGAAAGGTTGTTATCATTCTGAGAGTGTCGAGCAACTCCCATAAAATGAATTGAGACTTAATCCACTCCGTAGTAAATATAATATCACATCACGAAACCTGAAACTACCAATCAGAGAATTGTGCTGTTTTCAGAAGCACAAGTATTGAGGCCAGACTGACTTGTACTCAACTCACACCATGTCTCCCACACACAAAAGATTTATTGGCAAGAAACTTCAGATTGCTGGGACTCAGTTTCTTCATCTATGAAGTGGGAATTAAAATATACCTCATAGGGTTGCTCTGAGGTATCAAAGAGATAATATAGGGAATATGGTTAGCAGAGTGTTTAGGATAAAAAGTGCTCAATAATGGTAGACTTTACAAAAAATAAAGCATGTGTTAATATTATACACAAATGGAAAGATTAAAGTATGTGTAGCAACAGCATGTCATCAAATAACTCAATGGTTCCTGGCGGTGAGTTTTCTCCCACATTTCCTCAGGAGAGAAGAGAAATTCCTTGGAAAAAATACAAATTTGAATGTCTCACTTTAAGATATAGATATCCTTCAGCTAACACTCTCCCAAGACTGATGGTAATTCCTCAAGTATGAGGCTCTCGATAACTTAGAAATAAAAATGAAAAGCAACTATAAAGAATCATTCGTTGTTCGTTGTAACGAAGGGTAAGTTTATAAGTAGGAAGCTGTGACAGATGGGGTGCACAGGAAAATGAATGAAGTGTGTGAAAGAGCTGGGATCTCTGCTTTTACCCAGGTATTTGCTATCTGGAGAACTTTTCTCATAAGTCCCCAGATCACCAGAGAAAGGCTGGATTTAGTGTTTAGATGTGTGTTCATTTCAATCAACCACTTTGATCAGAAATCAGAATTGACAAAAACTATTTGTTAGTTTCACCAATTCCCTGATTACCAAAGGTATGGGAACTGAAACAAGCTTTACAGATCACCCAGCTCCCACCAGGTATGGCAAAAGTCTTCCCTTTACTGATAGGCAGAATGAAAGAGCAGGGTGCAGGGTCCAGTCTCTGTTACAGCCCAGAGCTATGTCGCTGGTGGAAATCCCCACCTACGGGGATATGCACGACAAACTCTTGGAACCAGATCTGTTTCCCGCACATCCAGCCTCCCAGCACATGTAAGCGTTTAGCTTTCTCGTTGTTATTGCATTTGAACTTTAAGAATTTGGAAACTGTCAACATAGAGCTCTCTGCTCCTGAATTAATTTTATTTCTTGCTCCAACAATCAAACTTCCTGTTTGTAAGGCCAAGATATAAACCTACTTTTAATGTAAATTTGAAATGAAACATAGTTCATTAATAATAAGCAATGTATTAAAATATAATCATACCCAGAAGAAGCTCCTCCTTTGCAAAGGGGATCAAGGTAAAATTGCAAAGCAACTTTGATTATTTAAATATGGATATTAAACTAATCACGATTATTTCCCTAATAACTGTGTGTGAACCTAAGTATTAGCAAGATAGATTTCGATTACATGTACTCGATATATTTATACTATTATTACAGATAGCCAAGGAGACGCTATTCAAACAAAACACATTGCTTAAAATTAGAAGAAACTAAAATTGCAACATGTGAATCAATTAAACTAGGAGAGTGACCCGAACCATTTTCAAAGCGGTTTGTTTATAAATATGTGATCACACAGTGAACAAAATTCTCTAGGAAAAAAGGATCCATAGATGCCAGTGAGTCACATCATGACAAAAATCGTCTTTGCATGTCTCCCACTGAAGCCAGCATTATAAGATTTCTGATATACCTAAATGGAGACTAAATCTTAAACCTCCTACCTTCCTACAGAAAGATTTCCAAGCTGCTAAAGCTAATTACTAAGTAATTAGTAATTTTAATTCAAAACCATCATGAGTGCCATAACAGATAGACAGTAAGCTTTGTACCTGAGTAAAAAACCCTTACCCTCAAGGAGCTCCAAGTGAAAATACATCTCAGAGTGCTACCTATAATGTAATGTGATACACTGGGCCAGCATTTTATGGGAGTCTAGGTAAAAAGACAAGATGAAAAGTTGGCGGGGAAGGTATCCCAGAGCGAGCCTTCAGTCTAAACCAGGAGGAGGTATCAAAGTGCATGACCTGATGATATGGTAACACAACGATTAGACCACAGAATGCACAGAGGTAGTGCAGTTGAATATAAACCTGCAAAGACTAATTGTGAAAAGCCTTGAATTCCATGGGAGATGGTTTAGAACTTTTCCAATGAGGAGACAGTCAAGGGATATTTTAGTGCAGGTAAGAGATGATCAGAATTGTGTTTTGGAAAGACAGTTCTGGTGGAAAGATCAGACTGGGTGGGGACAGAGATCTGACAAATAGAAGCCAGCTAGGGGGCCAATGTAACTGTTCAAGTGAGAAATGACGGGGGTGAGCCAGGGGAAAGGGGGTGTAAGGATTGAGCACTGATAGAAGCCAGAATGGATATGGAAAGTGAAGGATCACCAAAGACAAACATGCCATGTCTAGCTTGAGTGACTAGATGGATGGTGAGGTTGTTAACTGACAGAGGAAATATAGAAGGATAATATTTGGGAACTTATGAAATTAGCCTGGATTTAAAAAAAAAAAAATCATCATATATGTTCATTGGAGAAAATGCTATGACATCCAAGTTAAATAAAAGTATGCCCAGGTTAGCATTGGAATTAAGTAAACTTGGACATTTTCAATACAAGCAAACAGACCCTTCTTAGCTAAATTCAGTCAAAACTCTACTTTCCACATGGCAACAGCTCACGAAGCTTCTTAAAATATACCTCTATGCTCTAATTATTTCTCTAATTATTTCCTATGAATACCCCGTATTTGTAAATCAGACCTTCCCAAGCTCTGGAATTTAAATAGCAGTACAAATATTTCATACTGTTCTCAAAGAACATGTATGTTTAGAACTCATGTGCAGCACTCCTATTGTACCACTAAAAATTACCAGAAAAGGACTGTGTGAATCCATGTGGATGCAGAAAACAGAAGGGAAAGAAAGGCAACCTCTTCCCACAGTGTTATAATTTGGTTCTCATAAATTTTCTGGAAGAAGAAAGAAGTGGAGCAGGCAGGTGTGAAGATGAGTCAGACTGCAGACTGGAGAGCTGGCATGGTTTGAGAGACATTTATACAAGAGAGAAGGCAAGCTGAAGGGAATGGATACATTACCTTCAACATCATGACTCAGGTAGTTACGCACTTCGTTCAGAATGAAGTTGATATCTTCTTCCGAAGGAATAGGATGGTGAGTAATATCGGTTGGAGTGTCGGTAGTGCCAGCTATAGTCATCTTTTGCCACGGCAAGAAGAAAATAACTCGCCCATCACTGGTCGCGGGGTCAAGAAGTCCCATGCTCTCTGGGCTGAGATAAAAGGAACATGTTTTTATTTTTGAAATTAGTAAAAATTTAATCTTAATCTATAACCTATTTCATTCATCACATCTCGTATAAACCAACAAGAACAACATGAGCTGTTATTTTTACGGCCATTAAACTAACCTAAAAATTCCTTTAAAAACAAAATTGGCTTAGGCTGCCTCGGTTCTTTGGAGCATCGTCCTATACACCAAAAAGATGCAGGTTAAATTCCCATTCAGGGCACATACCTAGATTGTGAGTTCAATCCCCAGTTAGTACATACATGGAGAGCAACCAACCAATCAATGTCTCTCTTTCCCCCCCCACCCATATATGGAGAGCAGCCAACCAATCAATGTATTTCTCTTTCTCTCTCTCTCTTTCTCTCTCTCCCCTCCCCCTTTCTCTCTAAAAATCAATTTAAAAAAACATATCCTCTGGTGAGGATAAAAAATAAATTTAAATATTAAAAAAAAAAAAAACTTTGGTAACAAAAAATAATGGGGCAAGTGTGATAATGATAATATTCCGCAACAGAACCGACCCTCCCCATCTCAGAAATGCAAGGTTAATTATGAAAGTGGACTTCAACTTACAATTGTTTGGGATTTTATATTCCTTGGACAATTCACATCAGATAATGTCAACAAGATAAATGTCTATAATTTCTTTTATGATGGTCAATTAAAGATAGCTCTTCAACCTTTTTAAAGTCTATGAGAAGTATTTTCCTGGGACATTTGACATTTGGCACATCTTTTAGTAGAAGGTCTCAGAAGCACATGAGAAAAGTGAAGGGTCAACTTTCTAGAAACTAAAACGTAACCAAAAAGTTCTTTACTTCTTTTTGCCTAGTTGAACCTGTACCAGTTGACCAAATATGAGATTTCTTACTTTACTTTATTTTACAAAAATCTCAAGGAGTGCATCCATAAGAAAGGGGCTCAGTTTTCTACTACTACTAAAATAATAGTGTACTAGGATAAGACCAAAAAGGAGAATGTGATGAAAATATTTACACAAAGAGAAGGCACTAATGCATTATGCTATGAAATCGAAGTTTAAGGATGCTTCTTCTGACAGATTACATAAAATCTTCCAAAATATTAATCAAGAATTTTCACTTACGTGTGCTTATATTCTAAAACCAAATTAGAAAACACACTTGAAAGGATGGGAAACTATTAAAAAAAATTAACCAAACCCCATCCAATAGTGTTATTAAATCAGTAGAAACTGTTGTTTGAATAAGTATAGTAATAATTAATGTCGTTTTTAAACATTCGTTTAAAATCTTGCTTGGCATTGACTTGTATTGACATAACCTTCAAACACGTGGTATCTACAGAACGTGTGAAGTGCAATTAACAAGTTTTGCTTGAAAAAGTTTGTGTTTGGTTTGGTTTTTGTTGCAAAACTAGGGCTAAGAAGATGGAGGATGAAGAGCATATTCGGCACTGCATGCTTTACGAGTTCCAATTAGGAAGAAAAGCAAGTGAGGCTGCAAAAAACATCTGTAGTGCTCTTGGTCAAGATGCAGTTAGCGCCAGAAAATGCCAGCGTTGGTTTGAGAAATTTCGCGAGGGAAATTTTTCGTTAGATGACAAGAGTGGTCGAGGCCGTGTGTCCAATTTTGATCAAGAAGCTCTTCAAGCTCTTTTGGTGCAAAATCCTCAAATTACCCAACAAGAGCTTGCGGCAACTTTAAATTGTTCACAAAAAAACAATTTCCAATCAATTGCGTGCGCTTGGCAAAGTCCAAAAGTTTGGAAAATGGGTTCCTCGTGAGTTGACCGACAACAACCGTAATCAAAGAGTCACAATTTGCAGTTCGCTCCTCTCTCGTCAAAACCGTTTGCCGTTTTTAGAGCAAATTGTTACCGGAGATGAAAAATGGGTGCTGTATGTTAATTTGAAAAGGCGGCCTCAATGGTTGGACAAAAATGAGGCTCCGCAGCCCACGCCAAAACCTGACTTGCATGCGAAAAAAGTGATGTTGTGTGTTTGGTGGAATTTTAAAGGAATTCTTCATATGAACTTTTACCATCTAACCAAACCATTACAAGTGCAGTGTATAGTGCCCAATTGGAAAGGTTAGCCCAAGCTTTAAGAGAAAAAGAACCCGCACTGATTAATCGGAAGGGCGTAATTCTTCACCACAATAACGCACTGACCGCATACTGCAAGAATCACTGCTGAAAAACTGCGCCAGTTGGAATGGGAAGTTCTCCCTCAACCTGCATATTCTCCTGATATTGCCCCTTCCGATTACCATTTGTTTCGTTCTTTGCAAAACTTTCTTCTTGGAAAAAAATTTAATAATGAAGAATGCCTCAAAAATGCATTGACCAAATTTTTTGCATCAAAATCACAAGAATTTTACAACAGAGGGATTAAAATGCTTCCTGAGCGTTGGGCACAAGTAGTAGAAAACAACGGCAACTATATTGTTGATTAAATTTTGTTGTATTGTTTAAATAAATTCGATTTAAAAAAGTATTAGAAAACGACATTAGTTATTACTAGACCTAATATATCATTAACCATTCAAAGACATTTGGAGAAGTTGTTAAAGGAGTGGAAGGAATCTGAAAGTAGCATATTCAAATAGAACACTATAAATCTAAATCTCCAGAAAGTTGTTTCTATTTGACTGAATTCTCAAAGCAAGCCAGGGTTAACAGTTTTTACCAGGAGCTATTTTCAGCTTCTATTAATGCAACTTCTGCAATAGGAAACACAATTCTACTTGGTTTAAATAAATTTTTAAAAAATCTCTCTTACATCAACAAACATAAAAGGGCATATAGTCCACCTTTTATGTTTATCACTAGATACCCGGTGCATGACATTTGTGCGGGGGGGGGGGGGGGGGGGTGGAGAATGGGGGGAGGGGTGGTGCTGGTGGTGCTGGTGTGATTGTCCCTCAGCCCAGCTTGCACCCCTCTAGGGATGTATGACTGCCCTACCAGAATCAGGCTTAAATGGCCAGTTGGATATCTCTCTCACAATCCAGGACTGATAGTTCCCAACTGCTCGCTTGCCTGCCTTCCTGATTGCCCCTAACCACTTCTGCCTGCCAGCCTGATCACCCCCAAAACCACTCCCCTGCTAGCCTGATTGAGGACTAACTGCTCCCCTGCCAGCCCGATTGCCCCTAACTGTCCTCCCCTGCTGGCCTGGTCACCCACAACTGCCTTCCTCTGCAGGCTTGCCCTCTCCTGCTGATACAGTCACCCCTAACTGCCCTCCCCAGGCCAGCCTCATTGCCCCTAACTGCTTTCCCCTGCTGGTCTGGTCTCCTTCCAAACTGCCTTCCCTTACAGGCCTGGTCCCTCTCAAATGTCCTCCCCTGCTGGCCATCTTGTGACAGTAATCTTGTGTTCACATGGGGGCAGCCATCTTGTGTGTTGGAGTGATAGTCAATTTGCATATTATTATTTTATTTGATAAGATAGAGGCCTGGGTGGGGGCTGGCTGGTTTGCCCTGAAGGGTGTCCCAGATCAGGATGGGGGTTTCCTTGAGGTGTGGGGCAGCCTGAGCGAGGGGCCTGTGGTAGTTTGCAGGCCAGCCACACTTCCCAGGGACCCAAGCATAGGCTGGAAGCAGGTATCTGGGATTTATTTATCTTCTATAATTGAAATTTTGTAGCCTTCAGCAGAAGCCAGGGCAGGAGAAGCTTGGCTTCCTCTACTGTCGGGGGCAACTCAAGCCTCCTGCTTGCTCCAGCTCAGTGGCTGGGTTAATTTGCATACTCACTCCTGATTGGTTGGTGGGCATGGCTTATGGTGTAGCAAAGGTATGGTCAATTTGCATGTTTCTTTTTTATTAGATAGTATTCCCTTTAAAAACTTTTCATACCAGATTGATTCACATATAGAAATAATAGACACTAACAACTCCCAGAGAAGCAGTGATCAGACTGTTAAAAAATAATTGTTTTGCCCTTGTCAGCATTGTTCAATTGGTTAGCACAACATCCTGTACACTGAAATGTGGTGGGTTCTATTCACAGTCAGGACATACACCCAGGTTTTGGATTTAAGTCTCATTGGGGTGAATTTAGGAGGCAACTGGTCAATATTTCTCACATAGATGTTTTTCTCTCTCTCTCTCTCTTTCTCTCTCTCTCTCTCTCTTTCCCTCCCTTTCTCTTGCTTTCTCTAAAATCATTTTTTAAAATGTCCTATGTAAAGGAAATCCATAGTCAGCTCAGCTAATGTACTTTCTTTAAACCATAAGGAAGACTAATATTTTTTTTTTGGGGGGGGGGGCCCAAAATCCATCAGCCTCCTGATATGCCTGCCATGTCTACACAAACTTTGGGGAAAAGAAATTACTTTCTACAGCCTACTTGAAAGACAGGAGAGAGAGGGCCACAGTCCCCACTTAGCACATGCAAAAATCATCACAGAAGTATATCAATCCTTTAAACCTTCAACTAAGATATCATCTTTACTCAGGGTTACTTAAAGAAAATATTTTCACTCTCATTTTTATATATTGAAAACTATAAGTATGGAGTATTTTCAGTCTCTGAATGACTTTTTTTTCTTTATATTTATTATAAGATTCTCTTAAAATCTTAAAAGAAACTAGTTAAATATGTGTTTTGTAAGCACCTAATTTGATCCTGGGTTAATATGCCCTTACACTTTAGAACTGAAAATTTAACTCATTCAGAGTACAAGTTTTCAATTTTATAAGTAGTGCTATATTGAAACAAGAAGATAAATTCCATATTCCAACAAATTTTATGTTGGTATATCTTATATATGGTCATCTTATGGGCTAGATATCATGTAATACTCCTATATAACTCAAATAAGCCTCATCAACTTCAGCATGAAATTATAATATACGGCAACCTAGACATGAAATGCTGTTAGAAAGCATAACTACTGAATCCTTTAAAACCTTCCAATGCAATAAAAGCAGTTTAAAGGGTGAAGGTGATGGTTACCAACACACGTAACTGGAACCTGTAGAGAATCAACTGCTTAAGTGAAGACATATGTGTCAAACACAGAATTAACAAGCACAGAGGGAAGACAAAGCTATTAATGTCTGGTATAAAAATTTAAGAATCCATTTGGAAATAGCTTTCATCAGTTCTAAATTACCTAATTCATGTTCTCCCTAGGGAAAAGTTTGTTTTCTTATAAAGAATTAATTCTGCACTGTTACACTCAAGTTTGAAAATGGACAGCAACTATGGCGATGGTATGTACAACAGAGTGAGGCTTAGGTCTTTTTCAATATGTACGATTCACTTGACATCAGAAGCAAAAAAGCTTCCTACTAATTTGTGTGTGTGTATAGGATTAAATGTAATGAACATTTTTCTCATGCAGACCATTGCTTGCCTGAAGTACCTGTATTTAAACTGAAATCAATTTATTAATTACATAGCGATCAGTGGTAGAGCTAATAGTATGCAGACACTCATAGGGGAAAAAAAAAAAAAAAAAAAAAAAAAAAAAACTGACCTCTTGTCAATGGTTAAAAAAATAATTTAAAAAATCTTTAGGCTATAAGATGTTTTTCATGCATTTCAGCCATTGGCTGTATTGTAAGAGCATAGCATAGCCACAACTCTGAAAAAAGTCCAGACTTCTTAGGTAAACTAAAGAGTACCTTTAAAAAGAAATTATTTCTGTGTGTTGGGTTTTCTGGCATTAATATAATTTCTAAAAAGCTGTTACCATGGCCCAAGAGAATTCCACATGTGGAATGTTAGGGTCATGACAAGCTTAATAAATGCCATAAAGATACTCCGAAAACAACCCAACAAGACAGACTAACGCATAGTCCTTGCTCTCCATTTAGTAGCCTCCACGCAAGGAGTCAGTGGGTAATGAGCTCACTGCGTTTTCAAACTGAGCATTTTCTAGTTGAAATGTTAGGCCTTCGGTTATGAGCAGACCGTGTATAGGGCAGCCCCCTATGGTCTAACTCATCCCCGAGGACCTAGTGAAAGCCTGGAGTTATATAATTGCCGAGTGTGATTGGCTGATGAACCCAGAGATGTTTCCACCTGAGATCTCTTCACCCCACCGAAGAGAATGGCTTGATATGGAGAGCAAAACTTTTTTCTCGATTGCCAGTATCACAGCTGCTCAAGGTCAGTGCCTTTCAACTCTTAATCCAAGTTGCATTCCCAAGCCAAGAGGCTCATCTGCAATAGAGCTGGAAGGGAACTGGGCAGTGGACCATGCCTCCAAGGTTTCCAGCAGGCTGTGTAGTACTTGCAGGTCAAAGTGCTAACTAAACATGGGGATATTTATTCCTCCCAAAGTAGAATGAAATGATTATATATATATATATATATATATATATATATATATATATATATATTATCCTCACCTGAGGATATTTTTCCCACTGATTTTTAGAAAAAGTAGAAGAGGGGGGGGGGTTTAGATGGAAAAAGAGAGAGATTCGAGGCATATCAATTGGTTGCTTCCTGCACAACCAGGGCTGGGGATCGAACCTACAACCCAGGTTCACGCACCTGACTGGGAATTGAGCCTGTGACTTCTCAGCATGTGAACAGATCCTCTAAACAGCCAGGGCAATCGATATTTTTATTTCATCTCCACCCCTAACCATGTCTCAGTTTCTGATTATCTGTGTTATTATGATAAATTAGAAATGACATCTGATTTTTACTTGCTAATATATTTTTCAAAATATATTTCAGAAGTTGTAAACATAAAAATACCTGAGTGGTCCTTATTTTCGATTTTTACATAAGTAAATTTGGATGTTTTATAAAATTAACTTTTTAATTAAAAAGTCCTTTATGAGCCCTAGCCGGTTTGGGTCAGTGGATAGAGCATCGACCTGTGAACTGAAAGGTCCCAGGTTCCATTCCAGTCAAGGGCACATGCTCGGGTTATAGGCTTGATCCCCAGTGGGGAACTTGCAGGAGGCAGCCGATCAATGATTCTCTCTCATTGTGGATGTTTCTATCTCTCTCTCCCTCTTCCTTCCTCTCTGAAATCAATAAAATATATATATATTTTAAAAGCCCTTTATGAAAATTTTTGCAAAATTAAATTTTAATGTTTTAATTGAAATGGAAATTCTGACACACTAAGGCTTACTCTTTGAAGATGACTACGCTAAAGAAAGTACAAACATGAATCCCAAATCATTGCTGGTAACTCGTAGAAAAGAGTATTGCCATTAAAGCTAAGAAATTGTATTTTGTCTTCTGGATGAGTTCCTTTACTTATTTCTCCTCTTTTATTTTTTTAAGTTTATTTTTTAATTATAGTTGATATACAACATTACATTAGTTTCTGGCATACAATATAGAGATTAGACATATTTCTCCTCATCTGTTACTAAGAGAGGTGAACTACTAAAACATTAAATCCAGACAATGCCTGTGCCCCTCATTCTCTGGTGACAGTCACGGTGGGAATCCAGTACCTGTAATAACCAGGCATCACAATGTGGACGCCCGCACTCGGCTGGCAGATAGTTGCGGCCTCCTTATCATCCATTTGGCGCACGGCATCTGTGAAAGGTCCCGTGGCATTGATAACGCATTTGGCTCTCACATCAAATTCCTGTCCTGTGGAAGAAAGCAGCATCAATCACACACCCCATTTGTTTCTCTGCTCACGGGTGCTTTGGATTATTCATTCATCTATTAGCTCCACCTATGGCAAAGTATATTGTCTACCACACTAAGTGACATGAGCAGCCAGAGTTACTGAAAAGACACACAGAAGGCTCGCACCTGAGTAAATGTTCCAAAACCAAGTCCAAAGTGAGGGCTTGTGGGGAGAGCATGCCACTTTTTCATTTCAGCTCTCAGTTATTTTGCAAAATGCCCAGCATCCAAATGCCAAATAGGGAGAAAAGGAGATGAGTAAATAAGCTGCTTTCTCTTTAAACCTCAAACATGTGAGCAGTGTTGCTGTGAGACAATATATGTCACATTGCTGGTTTTGTTTGAAGAAAGGGTGTGATTTTTGAAAGGGTGCCTACATGGCCTTAGGCTCAGGATAAGAAGGAAAACCCAACCAAAGTGAAGTGATTGACTCTAACGTGTAAATGCACTGTTTTTGCCATGTGAATGATACTCTGAAACTTGCACATTTGTTTTGTTTTATCAACATATTTCTGCAAAGAAAACAAAATGCGTTCATAGCTGTGGGGATTTTGTGGGCATTTATGATGATTGCATTTTATCATCATTACTTATCATCGTCATTTTTCGGGGTAAATTTGCCAGGTCCCACAAGAGAAAATTTTCACATTAAACCGTCGCAGTTGACAATAAGGATATAATTAAGAGGACCCTGAAATCTGCTTACGTCAAAGAGAAGTGACAGGAAAATTATAATTCAGTGTTTATACAGGCGAGGCAAGATGCTAGGAAGAGCTCCCTGCCGGAGCCCTCGGCGTACCTGTGAGCACGTCCCTGCACCGCGCGCCGCTCACGCGCTCCTTCCCCGTTTTGGGGTCCTTCTTCTTCAGCAAGCTCAGGACCTCCATGTAATTGGCTGTGGCAGCCCCGTACCTGGCAGCGGTGAGAGCAATGGCAAGGTTCATCCGGGCGTCGTTGTGTTGTCCTGCAGCGGGGAGAGAGGGGGGACAGGAGTCACCTCCAGCCACAGGCGGGCGGTACAGAAGTGTGTCACAACAGATATGTCACATCTGTCCCTGTCACACGGGATATAAATGATGGCTGGTCAGCTCTGGAGGGCAGGATTTAAAAATACACAGTTGTCCTCGGTCAGGCATCTACCTGCCACTCCAGCAAGCTCACTTTTGTGCCATGGAAAAGGACGAAAAATTCCCTTTCCTGCAAAGCTCAGACCGATTATCTGAAAGTTAAGCAATACGTAATTATTCTCTCAGTTTGGGGAACATATGTATATGTCAGACTTTTCCTAATACAGACAACCCTTCTGCATGAAAGAGAAGCAATCCGAAACTTCAGAATATTTGACACCCCAACTGGTGTTGATTAACAATTTTTATGAGTACGTGCGTTATCTAATATTCAAAATCAGCAGCTTAATCTTCCATACAGAATCAGTATTCTATAAAAGGATTTTCCCCCACCCCTTGGGTCTGAATTTTGATCAGAGCTCCTTAACATGTAACTTTTTTTTTTTTAATCGCACACATAAAAGGTAAGAAATTAAGCAGGGCAAAATTTAATTACAGAACAATTCCTACCTGTATTGTTAAAGATTTATTGCTGAAAAAATCCTAGTTAAAGAAAACTAAGGGGGAGTGAAAGGGGGGGAAAGATGATTAATCACTTTAAAATACTGGCATCACTAGAGACTTTTTCTATTTATTATTGCCAGTGGAGTTAACGCTGACCAGGAAGAATTACTCTACATTGCAGGGGCCAGGTTCTCTGTGCCCTGAATAATTAATTACCCGGGGCTAGATGTATTGAAGCAGGGTTCAAATTCCCACACACTGGGATCGCTTCTATCAAGATAATACTGATAAAGGGATGAATTTGTAATGAATATTGTTGTTGATTTATGTTGCCAGCATACCAAACATTTAGTATAAATGGTTTATGTAAAGTTTCTTCCTTGTGATTCAGTCTGTGCAGAGCCAGAAGCACAACACAGGTAATCTGTTCCAGCTAAAAGGGCAAAGTTATAAAGAGAGAATCGATGGCTGAGATGCCACCGCCGCCCCTCCCCACAAACATCTTATTCCAAAACCGCTCGGCTAATACAATCCGCCGAGAACCTTTCCTTCAAAATGAAATCCTCTTATCAAGCGAAGAGCACATATTAAACCTCAACATGCAGAATGGAAAGTTATTTTATTAAAAAAAAAAATTAGCAGAAGGGAAGTAGAAGAAAGAAAACAGCAGCAGCCTTGGGACCTGAGCCTAGAACGTAGGAAGAGGGGTAGCGTGTCTATCACTTTCAACTTAGCGTGACCCCAAAGTTGCCGTTGGAACATTCAGTAGGTGTGTTTAATGTTTAAGAAATCAACTTTTATTAACGTAGGAAATTGGAATATGTTCCACAAAGTTAAATGCACACAGAGTCCAATGCAACAAAATAAAAAATCCACTATAGCCCAGCCGGCCTGGCTCAGTAGTTGAGCATCAACCTAGGAACAGGAGGCCATGGTTGGATTCCCGGTCGGGGGCACAAGCACAGGCTGTGGACTCGATCCCCAGTGTGGGGCATGCTAGAGGCAGCCGATCAATCTTTCTCCTTCTTCCTTTCTCTCTGAAATCAATAAAGTAAAATAAAAACTATTTTAAAATTCTACTATAAATCTTCTCTTTAAAGAAATTATACATCTAAACTAACGAGAGTACCCATCCCCATCCAATCTTTCTGGTAGATTTATTCACATAACAATGAAACACATCACAGACAATTCAAAAAGCCCAGGACCTGTTAGTGCAGTGGGAAACCCCCACCCATCCAGATGTGCCTTGATTTACACACATGGCAGGTCTCTGGAAAGCCATGTGTGACTCGGCTGTTTTGAACCTTACATGAAGTCTATTCAAAGGAACCAGACAGAAATCCCATTTATTAAATGACAGATGCCTTTGTTAAATGGTATCTCTATTACACAACCATCTTGTAATAAAACTCTCTAAGTTCTGAAAACACAAAATCTTTCTTTTAATGCCTTTTAAAATGTAAAATCTCACTGGAGCAGTACTTGTATAGTTCATCAAGCTCTGTGGCTTCTATACTAAGGAATGCCTCCCTAATTAGCTTTCAAATCCCAATACTTTTTTTTAATCTTTATTAATGAAAGTATTACATATGTCCCCTTGTTTCCCCCATGGGGAGATTTTCTTGTTTATAGAGCCTATCGGATCAGACAGCACGAGGTTTAAGTTCCCGTTAAGTCCCAATACTTCTGAGGGTAAACGAGACGGAGCTCGGTTAAAGTGAGAGGGGGAGACCAGTTCCTTTGCTCCTTCTTTTCCACACCTGCCCTGATGGCCAGCAGCACTTGCTTCGACTCAATCAGGTACGTCTCTTATTTATGAAGGGCTTCATCTGCCACATTTCCACTCCCATTCTTCTCACGACCTATGACTAGGAAATTATTTGCAAATCCCTGAGCATCTGTGTTATTTCACAACTTCCTGCCTTCGCCCACGCTCACTCTTCTGGCTGCAGTACCATGGTGGGAGCTCCAGGCAGTTCCTATTCATCTCTCATGCTCTGGTTCATCTCTCATGCTCTGGTTCATCTCCCTGTGAAGTCATCCCTTCTCTGCGTCCTTCCAAGGCAACGTTATTCATTCCTTCTCCTGTGTCACCATCAGAGTGTGTACGTGCCTTTTTTTTTTTTTTTTTTTTTATAATCTTTGTGATACCACATTCACCCATATATCCATCAGCTTAAGAAACAATAAGCTTTGGATATGAGTTAGACACTGTGACAAATGCAGCGAACACCCAATGGTGAGAGAGATACAGGTGTCTCCAGTCTCCGAGAACTTACATCCCATTGTAATTACTGTATGATTGGCCATGCTCCCTCATTCCAGTCGTGGGAAGTGAGGAAGCTTTGCTTGTTCCTCTTTCTTTTTTTTCTTGGTAGTACCAAACGCAGAACAGGTATCCAGTAAAGACTTATATATACAGTCTTAATTATCTAATTTTTTTCATAATTACATATAAATTTTATAAAACTTTCTCATCCACTAGTATACCGATTTACAATCTTAACTATGGAATGCTTTGTCTAGTGTTAAAAAACTTCAGACCTCCATGAATTGGTTGCAAGAAGTTTTAAGGAGAGCAGAGAAACCCAGAAATATAAAATCTGAACTTAAACCCAAAGTGGAATGAAAGGAGAAATGGTTATGTATGATTCCCTCAGGACTTATCCCACAAGTTTCTCCTTACTCTGCAGGGGAAAGCAAATCCAGCTATTAGAATCTTCTGGAAATTGATGAATACATTGAGTTTCCTCTGGAACCAGAAGTTCACACCTCCACCCAGAAGCTCCCTTTCTTGCAGACATTCAGCTTAATTCATTTCCCTCCTTGGATTCGGAGTAGATCTCCTCCCCTACCCACATTACAGTCAGCCTGTGCCCTGAGATACCCAGATGCTTACAGTGTGAGCTTCCTGGGATAAGTGGTATATCTTCACTCTTCTTAACTAAATTCCTCCTAGCCCCCATTCCTGACATTTTGCAAGGTATCTGCATGCCTCCTGTAATTTCATTTCTGGAGAAGAAAGTTTTTGACAAATACTGCATGTCATTGGAATGCGCTACAACAATCTCACCTCCCCCACCCAATTGATCTGCTTATTAAGTTTGGATTTTCCAATCTGTTTCCTCAGAGCCAGGCAACATACTATTCACTAATCAGCGAATAGCTTTACGTTGGCACTTGCACAAGCACCCAGACGGGGACTGTGAAAATCTGTTTCCTACTCTTCTCCTTTTGCACTTGAAATCTTACATATGTGCACATTCTGAACTTGCAGTGCTTCTGAGAGGAAGCACAGAAGAGGTGGAACTATAACTGTTTTCCCTTGTTTAGAAAAACAAAATGTTCAATCAACCCACTGAACAGAATGTAGGTCAGTGGTGGTAGAGAAGGATTTTTGCCTTCATCCTCAATGCTCAATGGCCTCACACACAGATTAGTGCAAGATATTTTGGGTAGAAAATATTTTAGGATGTAATCATAGGATAGACCTCAAGTATAAATATTTTGAAGACATAGCAATATTGCTCTACTCAGAGGGTTTCAAAATTTGGCAGCTAAGTTACCATGCAAAACAGTTGGGAAAAGAGAAGTAGTCATTGAATGTGTAAATGGTATGAAGAATGAGTAAATATGAAAATCCCTAGGTAACAAATTACCTGGCGTTTTCCTGGTCCTTTAGATCTAAAATTCTACAGTGTTGTGAAATTCTACATACAATTTTATTTTAATACAGCATACTTTAAAATGGGCATGTACATGCCCGAACAGGTTTGGCTCAGTATATAGAGCATCGGCCTGTGGACTCAAGGGGTCCAGGCATGTACCTTGGTTGCGGGCACATCCCCAGTAGGAGGTGTGCAGGAGGCAGCTGATCAATGTTTCTCTCTCATCGATGTTTCTAACTCTCTATCCCTCTCTTTTCCTCTCTGTAAAAAAATTAATAAAATATATATATTTTTAAATGGGCATGTACAGTGCACAGATCTATGAATACACACCCAGGAATTCATACAGAAAGTCTAATTGTTAAGGGGGGGAAATAGTCCTTGATTAAAATAACACCTGTCCAAAAATTCATAAGCAATTAATATCGCCACAAGAAATATTGAGAGCATTTCCTTCCATCTTCCTGTGCCCTGACCCTACTTCTGGAAGGGGGAAAAGGATGCATGAAAGAAAGAATACTTCTCCAAAGATCCCATCCCATTTCCCACAAAACGCTTCAGTGTCTCAGACTGACAGTGTCACCGTGACCTCTCAGGCAGCTTCTCCTTAGCAGACAGAGGCAATTCAAAGGCTAATAACCTACCAAACTGAGGCTGATTTCATATAACCATTATATTTAAAGTCTCCCTGTCTAATGGGAAGAATGCAGATAGAGGCAGAG